AAAAACACAATATATTGGCTAATTATTTGGTATATATATATTCTAAAAATATAAAAGATGATGGTATGCCGAGTAAATGGGTACCAAACATGACATGCTTTAAAACTGCGCATGCCCCCTGCAATGGTGACAAACTGCAGACATTTTTAATATCTATAGGCAACACTTTGAAAGTCTTTACAAGCTATCATTTTAGATTTACAGAGGAGGTTTAGTGCTAGAATTACTGCCCTTGATCTGACATTCGCAGCGATACCTCACATGCATGGTGCAACCGCTGTTTACATACCGACACAGGTCAATGCTTGTCCATGCGCGTGGGGGGGCGGGGGGGGGGGGGCTAGGGTGCTTTTTTTTTTTTTTTTTTTTTTTTTCACTTTTAATGGGAATGCAGATAAAACCCTATAACTTCACTGGGCATTGTCTATTTTATCTATCTATCGGACTCTAGATAATGTAAGGGCAGAGGAGATATCTAATCTCACCAAGATCGGTGCTTTCAGGATTTACAAATGGTGCTGTTTATATCTGGTGAAACTGAAGTGTTGAAATGCTCATAGCTTCCAATTTCTTAGACTATAGAGATGATTGGCACAATTCCGGTCTCCAATCATCTCTATGGTCATCTGACAGAAACAAGGGCTGCATTCTCAGGTTCCACTGATGGCATGGGACTGCCCTGGAATGCAGTGTGGGGGGGGGGGGGCATCGTCTCCCGCTGTTTTAAAAGCAATCCTGCAGCTAATTGGCCACTAGCTTTGCTTTTACATGAAAGACGATCGCCGGCTGAAAAAAACAATAGGCATCTTCCTGGTATAACCATTCAAAGTTCAAAGTACGTCGCTGGTCCTTGTTTGGTATATATGCTGTTTTTTTTTTGTTTTTTTTTTTTGAATGAGAGAATAAATCTCTACCAGAAAGTGTGTGGTATGCCCACCATTAGATTATACCACCCTGCATCTACCCACTTCTAATGGTTGTCACACATTTGGTCTCACGGTGCCATGTGTGCTAATTCCAAGATTGTACAAATGTCTAAATAGTGACACGCTTGAATAAAAATTATCCACGTATAAGTGGTACCCCATATGGAATGGAAAAAGGATGACACCAAGTCCCAAACTATCTTGCCACTACTCCCCATGTAGTCTGGGCATCTGGGGGGCTCCACGTGACTATCCTTTCCTTCGTAAATCCGAAACTTATATAGCCTGTTGCCCACTCATAGGTCTTGTACAACTTGACCCCATATCTGGCACGCTTGCTGGGAAGAAATTGTTTCAATGCAAGGTGGCCAGAAAAATGAACGAGGGACTCATCAACGCAGATTATTTGCAAGGGAGTATAGACATCTGAAAATTTTTGGTAAAGGTGATTTACAAGAGGCCAAATTTTGTGGAACCGGTCAAATTCAGGGTCACCCCGAAGATGACAGTGTGTTTTGTTGTTGAAATGCATAAAACACCATATACTCTCATATATATGCCTGGCCATGGACGCAGAGAACACAGGCATATGATGAATCGGGTCTGTGGACCAATACAACCGCAATTCATTTTTTTTTTTAGTAATGGCCATTTTGAGGGTTAGGCCCAAAAAAAATTTAAATTTGGAAAACATAATAGGTTTCCATGCGAATTATCTGGCAAGGTTTGAATTTTGGTGATTAAATTGTTGTGCATATAAATTTCTTTGATCCACAATCAATGCATTCAGATCTTCCTTAAAAAGCAGCTCCAAAAAATCAAGGGGAGTAGTTAAATTTGCTGTTTCCACCTGAATTCCTGGTTGGGCAGTGAATGGGGGAAGTACTAGTGCTGATTCTGCAAACACTGCAGTTTTGTGTTAAATGTTTCAATGTATCGTGTTCCTGGCAATCAAGGGGTTAAATGTGAATACTGGTGCATTGATGTACAATCTGACTCTATCTGGGAGGGGCGTGAAAACCACAGGAGCGCGAAAACCACAGGAGCGCGAATCACTTTATATATGTGATTTTGCGCACCCATGCCGCCCTTTAGCCCTATTTCTGCTATAGGGCGGTTACGGCGCTGTTCCTTTAACTGACAATTGCACGGTCATGTAATACTGCACCCAAATGAAATTTACGCCCCCCCCCCCCCCCACGAATTGAGCTTTCTTTGGGTTGTTTTTGATCGCCTGTGCATTTATTTTTTTTTGCGCGCTATTAAAAAAAAATTGACAATTTTGAGAAAAAAAAACAATATTTTGGACTTTTTGCTATAAAACATGTCCAGTAAAATTTAAAATTCAAATTGGCATAAATTTAAGCCAAATGTATTCTGCGACATGTCTTTGTTAAAAAAAAAAAAAATCCCAATACATGAAAATTAATTGGTTTACGTGAAAGTTATAGCGTCTAAAATAGCGGTATAGATACTGGAATTTTTTTTTATATAGACTAATGGCGGCGACCAGCGACTTATGGCGGGACTGCAGTGGACATTCTGACACTGTGGGGGAACCAACTTGGGGTCACTGCCATCCCCAATGACACCAATACAGTGATCAGTACAAAAAAAAAGCAATGACACTGTACTAATGGCACTGGGGAGGAAGGGGTTAACATTTGGAGGCAATCAAAGGGTTAACTATGTGATGGGAGTTTTTTTACAAGGGGGGGGGGGGTGCTTCTCTGTAAGCAAACTGATCGAGATGGCTGTGATCAGTGTACCCAAACTGACATGGAGGAGGGCTGCCCTCCTTCCTGTCTGTGTTTTCTGGTAATCACCAGGCTTCAGTGGGTAGTCATCGGCAGGGACCTGGTGATTGAAACCAGCGGCCGCGATCGGAGGCAAGGGTAGGGTGGTCGCGCACCCCCTACCCGGAAATGCAAAATTACGTGTGTGTGTGTGTGTGTGTGTGTGTGTGTGTGTGTGTGTGTATGTATGTATGTATGTATATATATATATATATGTGATTTTGCGCAGCGGTGCCACCCTAAAAGTGCCACAGTAAAAGTACCTTTCTCCAGCACCACATCCGGTAACTAGCAGGGAGGAGAGAGACCTTGCATTGCAATGAAGCACCAATTGGCTGCTCCTCAGGAAAGGGGAGTGTCGGGGGCTTATCCTTTATCCCTTTCGCTATCAGAGCAGGTTTTGCGTTTTTTTGTAAAAAAAAAAAAAAAAATCATTTTAGGCCTGAAGATTACTTAAAACCCCGTAACATGATATGTTTACTGATGTCGGAGACCTTAGAAGATAAGTGGTAGTTCAAATTTTTTGTCTCATGATATTACTGCAAAATTTCAGTAAAAATACAAGTTAATTTTAGGTCACAAAAAAAGCAATAAGTTACCCTATATTTTTTTTTTTTTTTTTTTTAATCTAAAACATGAGGTTGCATCGAGTAAATATGCAACATGTCAAACCTTAAATTTTGCGTGCGCTTGTGAAATGGCGATGAAATTCAGTGTCCTAAACTTTCTATAGGTGATGCTTTTAAAGCCCCTTATAGGTCATCAATTTAGTGTTAAGAAGGAGGTCTGGTGCTAGAATTATTGCTCTCATCCTGGCGTGCACAGCGATGTAATGTGTATCGCAGTCGACGTTTACATGCATAGGTGCCCAAACGTGTGCTTTTTATGTTTGTACGTGCGTATATGTGGGGGAGGATCATTTTTTTTTTTTGGGGGGGGGGGGGGGTGTTATGTGCTTGGGTGTAACTTTCACTTTTTACTTTTTACGATTTAAAAAAAGATTTAGACCTTTATTGAGACATCCAAGGTCTAAAAGATCTGCATGTCTCCCCCTGTACTACACTGAATGTAAAGCAGTGCACATCACACCTCATTACATTTGGTGAATCTCTCAACGCGGACCCGAAAGTGGTGACATAACATCACTTTCGGGTCAGGAAAGGGAGGGGGAGAGGATGTGTCCGCTCTCCTCCCTTCACTCTAGCTGACTGTGGTGAGCCAGGCCCGCAGAAAGCCAAGCAGATCCCGGGAGGTAGTAGTCGGGGGGAAGTTCTCACGTGGGGGCAGAGAGGCTGGCACTGTGTGGAAGCAGTCAGTGGCAGTACTGTTGCCAATTGCTTCCACCTGACAGATGAGCCCACAGCATGGTTGAAGGTACAAAACAACTGCCTGCCTGGCGCCCAGAACTACATGTCCAGGCGTCGGATGATAGGATTTCAACATCCCTGGGAGCTATATTGCTCCGAAACATGTCAAATTTCTGCAGAATCATCTCTCTAACTTATCAGGATCATTGCTCAACAATTGTATGATATTCTTGACTGGTGATGTGTTACTATGTACAATATGACGGTTTTGTACTAATGGCATGTTATGCCATAAATTTATGGTATTTTTGACAAAATAAAGAGTTCACACTTTTATGTACTTTATTTGCCAGCGTATAAGACGACTTTTTACCCCTTGAAAATCTTCTCAAAAGTCGGGGGTCGTCTTATACGCCGGTATACGGCATACTGACACTTTTTTGGGGGGCGGTGCCGCTGCCGCCCCCCCTTCCAACGGAAGGGACACTAAGTACAGGGGTGGGCAGGGGCTGTTTCTTACCTGGCTCCGGTCCCACGACGATCCGGTCCAGGAAGCGCGGCTGCTCCTTCAGTTCGGCCACTGGATGTTCGCGCGGCTGCTCGGCTCCGCCTCCTCACCGGTGATTGGCCGCCCGAACTTTAGCTCAGGAAAGGCACACAGGCGGCCAATCACCGGCGAGGGGGCGGAGCCGAGCGGCCCCGCGAAAATCGAGTGCAGGAGCAGCAGGTAAGTGTTCAGTGTAGAGGTGCTGCTGCAACCACATATGCTGGCTGCAGCAGCACCATACTAGAACAGGGTCAGCAAGTGTAATTGCTGTCAGTGGGAGGAATAGTGCCCCATCATTGGTGCCACTGATACCAATGATGGGGCACTATTCCTCCCACTGACACCAATGATGGGGCACTATTCCACCCCCCACTGACACCAATGTTGGGACACTATTCCTCCCACTGACACTAATGTTGGGCCACTATTCCCCCCACTGACACCGATGATGGGGCACTATTCCCCCCACTGATACCAATGATGGGGCACTATTCCCCGCACTGATATCAATGATGGGGCACTATTCCTCCCACTGATACCAATGATGGGGCACTATTCCTGCCACTGATACCAATGATGGGGCACCTATTCCCCCCACTGATACTAATGATGGGGCACTATTCCTGCCACTGACACCGATGATGGGGCACTATTCCTCCCACTGGTGTGCATTGGAAGAGGGGTAGTCTTATACGGCGAGTATAGCCCAAACACTACATTTTAGCAGGAAAAGTAGGGGGTCGTCTTATACGCCGGCAAATACGGTATGTATGATGCCTTCAACATCCCATTTAGTGTAGGGGGGGGTTTCCACATTTTCAACTTATCCTTTAACTAGCTGCGACCGCAGATAGCCGAATGATGGCTGCACTGTGGCCGGCCAGTTCGAGTGGACGTCATATGACGTCCTCCCAGAACACGCTCTCCTGCGCGCCCCAGGGGGCGCGCACCCGGCGATCTCCGTGATCGCTGTGTCCCTATGGACACAGCTGATCACGTGATGTGGTAAAAGGCCAATCACAGCGGCCTTTTACCACGTGATCAGCGGTGTCCAATGACACGCTGATCAGAGGGAAATGCAAGTGCCGGTTCTCGGCTGCACTTTCCTCACGCTGTCAGATCGTGAGGAAAGTACTGCCAAGAACCGGCAGTTGTCAGAGCTGGGATCGGCACCGATCATCAGGGCACTGATGATCAGTGCCCTGATGATCGGTGCCCAGCAGTGCCACCCGCAAGTTCCGCCCACCTGTGCCCAGCAGTGCGCCCACTAGCTCCGCCCACCCGTGCCCAGCAGTGCACCCACCTGTGCCACTCTGCAGTGCCACCCACCTGTGCCCACCCACCAGTGCCCACCCACCAGTGCTGCCCACCAGTGCCACCCACCAGTGCTGCCAGTCAGTGCCCAGGGGTTGTGCCAGTCAGTGCCGCCAGTCAGTGCCCAGCAGTGATGCCAGTCAGTGCCGTCTATCAGTACCCATCATCAGTGTCACCTATAAGTGCCGCCTATCAGTGCTGCATATTAGTGCCGCCTATCCGTGCCACCTCATTAGTACTGCCTATCAGTGCCCATCAGTGCTGCCTCATCAACGCACATCAGTGAAGGAGAAAAAATACCTGTTTGAAAAATTTTATAATAGAAACAAAGAAACTTTTTTTTTTTCATATTTTTTGCACTTTTTTTTCATCTTTAGCACAAAAAGTAAAGCGCCCAGTGGCGATTAAATACCACCAAAAAAAGCTCTATTTGTGAGAAAACAATGATCAAAATTTCATATGGGTACAATGTTGCATGACCTCGCAATTGTCAATCAAAGTGCGGCAGCGCTGAAAGCTGAAAATTGGCCTGGTAAATAAGGGGGTATAAGTGCCTGGTAGGCAAGTGGTTAATCTCTGAATTTTCTCAAAAATGTGACCAATAAAATGACATCTTTAAAAAAACTCGCTATGCCTCTTACTAATTAACTTGGACTGTTTACTTTCAAAAAAGGAGTTTGTTCAGGAGGTGGCTGTACTGTCTTGGCATTTTAGAGACTCATGAAATGAGATGGGCAGTCACTTCATTAGGACTGAACAATTTTCAAATGCATATAACATAGTTTGTAGACTATAACTTTCATACAGACTTAACTTATAATACACTGATTTGGATTATTACCTTTTGGTCTAACTGCCTGTCTGCATATTTCCATGTATCCACCTCATCTGCACTTTGCAGTAGGAGATAATTTCCAGATTGTTACACTACCATTTGGTTTATACTTCTGCCCCCAGAGTAGTCACAAAGGTCCTAGCACTTCTCCTTGCCCTTCTAAGAACTCAAGTCATCCAAGTTGCAGGTTATTTGAACAACCTTCTCCATTTCCCTTCCAGCTATCTGCAAACGTTTACAAGATCATTTGAATGCTTCAGGCTTTCTGTTAGGTAATCTTTCAAAAATCCATTCTCCGTCCTCTTCACCTGTAATACATCTTAAAGTCCTCTACTGCAAAAGAACTTGCTTTCTTTCATGCCTAGGACTCGAGGTCAGATAGACTTCAGAGGCATCACTCTGTGAGATTGGCCAAATGAAACAGCCTCCAAGGAGGCTACCAAGAAGCCCAAAACATTCCTGGACAATTTTTTTTTTTTTTACAAATTAGTTTTTTTGACACACTGCAGCAACCATGACAGTTAACAGAAATGTATCCAGATACAAAGGCTAGAATCCGTGCAACATCAGGATATACAGGGCAAAAGACAAAATAGAACATCCACAGTGAGGCCATCTGTGCCAATATACCAATCCTGAGAGCAAGTATTTATAAAAAGAGAGACAATAAAGCCCGATAAGTAATTATATAATCAGAGAAGGCCAGCATGCATATCAGCACTTGAGCTCTGTATCTGCAAAACATGTAACTGTATGTTCCTGTGTGGGTGTCGGAGGAGGAGAATGGTACTGCCTCACAGCCTTTTTATTGTATATTATTAAATTAAAACAGATGGCAAAGCAAAACGTATAAGTGAAGGAGGGTAGAATGGATGGATGCAGGGAAAAAGAGGGGGGGGGGGGTGGAATTTGGGGAGAGGCGGGAAGAAAGAGGGGGGAGGGGGGAAAGAAGGTCCTGATTCAAGGGGGGGAAATAAACTCTGCTGGCAGGGTCCGGTTCAAAGAGAGCTTTACCTTCCGAAATAGACCATATTCCACAAACCCCATGTCTTGGAGTATGTCTCTCTTCTGTGTTGAGGTCAGAAACAGGTTTTCCAGGTTCAGTTATTCCACTTTCATGAGCCATAGTCGAATGGACTGTGGGCTTGTACTTTTCCATTTGAGGGTAATACAAGGTTTGGCATCGTTAAGGAGATGGCTAAGGATCGTGGTGGTTTTTTTTTTTTTTTTTTTTTTGAATTCTTTGGTGGGGATGCTTGAATTCATGGACAATTTTATTAGAGTCCTCTGCAACACAAAAATCTTGTTGGCATGGAATAAGCTGGCTCTTTTTGACCTACCCATCATCCTCCCATCCAGTCAAGCAAGACGCTCCCTTGCTTGGTGGATATCCAGCCCCGCCTTAACAGCCTTTCCATATCACTTGAAAATAACGACAGATACCAGTCTTTTAGGCTTGGTGGAAGCCATGCTGCCTATCAATATCCTTGAGCTCAGAATAAGGATGGCTCTGCATCACTGGACACACCTCCTACTATTACACCCAATCAGGATGCAATCAGACAATGCCACAGCTTTGGCCTATATCAGTAGCCAAGGTGGCACCAGGAGTTATGCAGCCTTGAATGAAACAAGTCTGATCTCATTAATGGAGAAACATTTCTAGCAATCTCTGCTGTCCACATCCAAGGAGTGGGACAGTTGAAAAGGCCGACTACCTCAGCTGTCACCAATGGGCCCTTTTTAGACTGACGTCTTCAACCTCCTGATATGTGGGGGGGGGGGGGCACAAGACATGGATATTTTGGCATCCAGTTTCAACAAGTTACATCTATTTCTGTCCAGGACCAATGATCCTCTAACATCGGCCCTGGATACTTTGAAAATCCCTGGTCTCAGTTAAGGTCAATCAGTCTTTCTTGCTGTAGCAAACTGATCATGAAGAAGCTGGTACACAGACTGACTACTAGGAGACTACCCCTGACCTTTTCCCTACAAGCCAGACATCCTGTCTCTGGGCCCCCTGTGATCTATCCAACTTCAGTCACTAGATTTAATGGCTTGGCTGTTGAAGCCCAGGTCAAAATGGAAAGAAGGGTCTTTGTGTCATGCCTACTTTGCTAAGAACAAGAAAAATTCCAGAAAGATCTACTATCATACCTGAAAATCGTTTTTGTTCTGATATAAACAAGGGTACTTCAGTTTCAGATTACTCTGTATTTTATTTTCTGCCTTCCTACAAACAGAACATGACCAGAGCTTGACCTTATGCTCTCTGAAAAGACTGGTCCATTTTTTTTTTCCAAAAAACCTCTGCCCTCACTTTCTCATGCCCAAAACCTTAATTCAAAGCATATCTCCGATCAGGCTCCCCTTAAAGCACCCTGTGCTTCTTTGGGACCTCAACTTTTCTCTGTCCTGTGGAAACCACCCTTTAAAATTGTCAGGGATATTCCCTCAGGTTACCTTTTTTGGTTGCCAATCGCATATGTCCAATGTGTGTCTGAGCTAGCTAGCAGCTCTTTTGAGCCGTTCCTTATTCTCCACAAGAACAAGCCATCCTTCCTATCAGTCTGTCGCCTCAGTGAATACATACACCTTCTCTTTGTTCCCTGGTTCAGAGCATCCAAAGGAAATTGCTGCTTGGAAGTAGTAAGAGCCATCAGCGTTCTCCTCAAAGTAACCGCTTCTATTAGTAAGAAAGACTCCCTCCCCCCACAGGATCTTCCCAGGGATATCCTACTTCCAATTCCTCATGAGAGCTTACACTCTAAAGGAAAAAACTCCTGCTGTTTTTTATGCATTCCTTCCACTAGATCAGTAGATATTTCCTGGGCAGTTCGATATCAAGCCTCTGCTGCCTAGCTTTGTAAGGCTTCCATCTGGTCCTGTTTACACCAAGTTCTGCCAGATGAACATAGTCTTCTGTGGATGCAGCTTTCATACCCATGATTCTTGCAGCATCACTTTGTATTTTGCTCTGTTCACCCTTATGTTGTTGGGCCTGCTGGCACAGTTTTTTGCCTAGTTGTCTGTCCACCCATTTAATTCATTGGATGGGGTGTCCTAGGGTCTATGAATACTCAGCCTGTGTCCAGTACTGTATTAAGATAAAAGTAATTTTGACTTGAAAATTTTTATTTTTCCTTATGGGTTGCTTTCAGTTTACTAGGGGCTATTTTATTTTTGGTACTGGGTGCTTGTAGATGGTTTCTAGATGTAGATTCTCAGCTTAGATGGTGGTGTGGGGTCTCATTTTTGGGTTCTGGAGGACAATATATGCCAGCTTTGTTATGATGTGCTCAGAGCGATATTTGCAATTTTTTTTTTCTTGATTGGAGAAACGGTACCACAGCTGGCCACAGAGGAGATCATCAGTTCCCCCATCTCCTGTGTCACTCACGAAGCCAGGAACTACTAAGATTTTGTAGCAAAATTGCCTGTCTATGAAAATTCTACACATGGCAGCACACAGTGCTGTTCACACTGAAGCGTTAGCGTCCCAGCAAAATTGATGCCTCATGTACAGTCAGAGAATGTAAGCCTCCCTTTCAAGTCTATGGTGTTGCTCCTCAAATGCCTGGCAGGCGTTTGTGGTGTGTTTGCAAGGTGGTAGCAAGGCATTTGCGGAGTGTTAATACCATTAAACTTCATTATAGGCATTTGAGGTGCGGTTTTAACGCTTGGCAAACACCTATCAAGCTCCTCAAAAACACGCATAGGGCATTTGGGGAGCTTTTGAGAAGCATTAACACTTCCCTAATGCCTGTCAAATGCTATAGGGGCATTTGGCAAGTGTTAGAATTTAGACGAGTGTGAACGAGCCCTTTCATCCAGGAAAGCAGCTAATTAAACACAATCTGTGTTTCATCAGATGCTTTGAAGGGCATTTCTAAAATTCTTGTAAGTGACCACTCAGAAAAAATATTATCCAAGGTCACCAAATCGCGCCAGATGCCACTAAACAAACATCTCTATAATATATGCTGCCACTTATCTTCCAGTATAAGACATAAATGATATAGTATCACCCCTAATTTAGTGATTAATAAAGGCACATGACATATGTGATATACCGTATTTTCCGGCGTATAAGACGACTGGGTGTATAAGATGACCCCCTACTTTTCCTGCTAAAATGTAGTGTTTGGGCTATACTCGCCGTATAAGACTACCCCTCTAGCAATGCACACCAGTGGGAGGAATAGTGCCCCATCATTGGTATTAGTGGGAGGAATAGTGCCCCATCATTGGTGTCAGTGGGAGGAATAGTGCCCCATCATTGGTGTCAGTGGGAGGAATAGTGCCCCATCATTGGTATCAGTGGGAGGAATAGTGCCCCATCATTGGTATTAGTGGAAGGAATAGCGCCCCATCATTGGTATCAGTGGGAGGAATAGCACCCCATCATTGGTGTCAGTGGGAGGAATAGCACCCCATCATTGGTGTCAGTGGGAGGAATAGCACCCCATCATTGGTGTCAGTGGGAGGAATAGCACCCCCATCATTGGTGTCAGTGGGAGGAATAGCACCCCATCATTGGTGTCAGTGAGAGGAATCGCGCCCCATCATTGGTATCAGTGGGGGGTATAGTGCCCCATCATTAGTATCAGTGAGAGGAATAGTGCCCCATCTTTGGTGTCAGTGGGGGGAATCGTGCCCCATCTTTGGTATCGGTGGCAGGAATAGTGCCCCATCATTGGTGTCAGTGGGAGGAATAGTGCCCCCATCATTGGTATTAGTGGGAGGAATAGTGCCCCAACATTGGTGTCAGTGGGAGGAATAGTGTCCCAACATTGGTGTCAGTGGGGGGTGGAATAGTGCCCCCATCATTGGTGTCAGTGGGGGGTGGAATAGTGCCCCATCATTGGTGTCAGTGGGGGGTGGAATAGTGCCCCATCATTGGTGTCAGTGGGGGGTGGAATAGTGACCCATCATTGGTGTCAGTGGGGGGTGGAATAGTGCCCCATCATTGGTGTCAGTGGGGGGGGGAGGAAAAGTGCCCCATCGTTGGTGTCAGTGGGAGGAATAGTGCTCCATCATTGGTATCAGTGACACCAATGATGGGGCACTATTCCTCCCACTGACACCAATTACACTTGCTGACCTCTGTTCTAGTATGGTGCTGCTGCAGCCAGCATATATGGTTGCAGCAGCACCTCTACACGGCACACTTACCGGCACTGCGCCGCCCCCTAGAAAGTGTCAGTATGCCGTATACCGGCGTATAAGATGACGCCCGACTTTTGAGAAGATTTTCAATGGGTAAAAAGTCATCTTATACGCCGGAAAATACGGTATATTAAACTCTAACATTCATGTGTATCATTTTCTGTCTTCATTAATATTCATGTAACATAAACATAATGTGCACAAAATTAAATTCATATTTGTGACTGTGAACATTAAACCAGTGATGTTCCCAAAAAAAATTATATATTATAATACAATTAATAAGTCCCGTGATGAAAAAATTAAAGTCCAATATAAAACTTCCACAGTGTGAATCCTCATAAAAGTAAAATAAGCCTTTTAAAACACTCATTGTAGTGACTCAGATGCCGCATGGTGCTCTCACCACCTCCGGAACTGCTGGAAAGAACGCCGTCACTTCCGGTCCGCCGCACCGGCAAGCACTGACGCGTTTCGTCATATCCTGACTTAGTCATAGGGATGACGGTGCGGCTGATCACTTATATTGGAAAGCACTAATTAGATCACCAGATTGATAATTACATTTAATTACACTTGCGTCTGTTAGGAAACTAATCATCTTGTCTCACAGGAAGTGATGACATTTACTGGCAAACATTAGGCTCCATACATGATACAAAATTGGGCAAATACACCAAACGAAATTTCCATTGTTATCATTCAACATTACTCTCAGCATCAGTTTGAATAGTGATACCATAGTAGCATGTTGAATGGAGAACCTGCAAAACCTATAGTACCTATTATTTTAGACATACAAGGTTAATACCCAAAATATTAACCTGATGTCCATCACAACATCAATAACAGTGGGGTGCATGAGTGGGGGTGCATGACGGGCACAGCACGAGGTTTCGATGCATTGATATAATTTTTCCCTGGAAGTTACTTTTAAGTGTATTCACTCTGTGTAAGTTTTTTTGGACTTTTTTCATAACGGGAATTATTTGTATTATATATAATTTTGTTTTGGGAACATCACTGTTTATGTTCACAGTCACATATATGAATTTAATTTTGTGCACATTATGTTTGTTACAGGAATATTAATGAAGACAGAAAATGATACACATGAATGTTAGAGTTTAATATATATCACATACGTATGTCATGTGCCACTATTAATCACTAAATTAGGGGTGATCCTATATAATTTATTTCTAACATTCTGTTTTAACTTTGTCATTATGGAGTACTGAGTGTAGATTGAGGAAAAAAGTAAACAACTGTGGTACTAGGCAGCAACATTACACAATAAAAAAAGTGAAGAAGGCTTCAATACTTGTGACAAGATAGGGGTTTTGTAGCTCACTCGTAGTGCAAAATAGTGCCATAGATGCCAGAAGTGTTTTTCATGGTTTTTTCCTGCCCACTTTTCTTTAAAGAAGGCAAAAGTTCACAAATGTTTAGCTTTCCACGCAGGGGGTTCTCACCGTCAATACAACAAAACATTATTCAAGCCTTTAGGCTCTTTGCTGCTCTACTGCTCAGGTCTCATGCATTGGTCCTCCAGACCATCTAGCACCCGTCCTCAGTGCTAGTACACAAACTCTGTACCTCTTTCATTTACAGCTGTTCCTTATCTCATAAACTCTTTTAGACTCAGGCCTCTGGCTTGCGACACCTCTGACCCCCCAGATGAGACCCTGTCTCTGCTTCTTTGTCTGTCTTGGACCTCTTGCTTGGGGCACATATGATCTCTATTTGAGCTCCTGTCCTCTCAGGTTCTTATCCTCTCCTTCCTGGACAACACGAGGCAGGCATGCACTTCTCGTCTCCCTTACAATCACTGACACTCTCGGGAAGGTTGGGTATTGACCTCAAATCCTGATACTGCTAAAAGAACAGCTCATGCCTGTGCCATTAGTGGGCCTGTTTTCTCCAAAATTTTGCCAAGACTGCCTCGTTAAACAGTTGCATGGCCTCGCCCTGCCACTTGTCTCCCCCTTGTTTCACACAGAGGGAGAAACACCACTTCACCCTGGCACCTCTGTGCCTACTACTACTTACCGGGTGCAAACATGTCTGACCTTTTGCCTCTAAAGGGGAACTCTACCCTTTTTTTAGTGTGCTTCCAGAAGCACTTCTTATCCTGTCCCACTGGTCTCTCAACCATCCCTTCTACCTTTTGGCTTTCAGCTCCTGTGTGTTTTTTTTTTTTTTTTTTTTTTACCTCCCCGCTGAACTGTAGGTGGCCTACTTCTATGGTTTCTTCAGGGACCCTCCCCTCTACCTGTATTAGTCTCACACACCAACATCTGTCTTTCAGGTTCCCCAATACCTGTGTGGGTATCCTTGGCGACCAGATCTTTTAAGATTAACTTCACGTTCTGTTTTTCATCAATGGCAATCTTCCACAGTGTATTACCCAGCTTATTTTTGTCACCATCACCCGAAACTTGTGTCCCATTGTTTGTTAGGACAGTGTCTGTGGAGGGACCACTTATAGGCAAGCAGTTGGTCCCAACGAGACCTTCTCAAAATTTCATATCGCTTCCTGTTGTCCAACACTCCATAAGTGACTGTCCTACCAATGAACATTTCCCAACATAACTTTTGTTCAGTTCGGTTACCCCAGTCTTTCATCACTTCTGTGTCCTCTGGTACTTTAGTCAATACCTTTTACCTGTCCAACAGTGCCCCAGAGTGCTTCTTATACACAAAACCAGTGTGATGCAGTGCACTGAGACAACTTTCAATATAGGTTCATGGCCTTCCCTGTTAGTTATGGAGTGTCTCCAGGTACCTTAACCTGCACCTCTTTGTGGGTGATGGACAGAATCCCTGTTGCTGCTGCGCGTCTGTTCTGGGCCCTTCCTTCTCATGAGGTCTATTGGGTGAGACAGTCTACGCTCCATGTAGCAACCACTGTTATGCCGCACCAGCAGGAATGCTCACCATCAGAAAGAGACTTGCCTGCCGTTTCCCTTTGCAGCTTCCACATAAAACAGCTGCTGGAAGCACTCCGAGAACCATGAAACCACTTTCCATACAAGTAACCAGCAATGCAGTAACATACGAATTTTGACCATCCTTAATATCACCTGTACCACCTGTTTCCACTGATTTGATAATGCACAGTACCAGGCGTTGGGGACATCCAAGTGAACAGTGAATATATTTTTTTTGTTTTTACTACTTCCAACATTTCCAGTGATTTACCAGTTATCTTTAGACATCCCACATCCAAACACAACATTCTAGGGACTCTTTACTGACTAGCGACGTGGAAGGGCTCATTCACGGAAGCTTGAGAGGCAGAGATATTTAAAGAGACCTCGTCCGCAGAGGTAACTGACATCACAGCCTGGTGCTGCCAGACACATGTCTCATACTCAGCCTCTCACTTTCACCAAAAGTGAGCCTTTTCAAGTCCTTATTAGTTACTGTCCTTTTGACACTTAACCTTATTCTGTTGGGCTGTGGACAAACTCTCTGCCATGCATGCGCACTTATCCTATCCAACAGACTGGAGGAGGTTAACATCTGCAGCAGCCAATTCATCTTAGACTACAGGCCACCCTGTCTACCCTCCCTTCAGCACAACAGCTGTCATGTCCACCCCACTGGCACACATGAAGGTTTCCTTCAATAACACCATTTAACTTTCTGGCCCAACTTTCCCACTCTATCTTGTATGTGCTCCAGTCACCAGCACTCCGCAGCACTGCTCAATCTGCCCAAGGAGACACAGGCAGACAGAATGGCTTGGCAGCAAACATCCTGCACAAGTCACTTTTAACCACAGACTGTTGATAATACGTCTACCATTTGATTCGATTCCCCCAAAGCTGTGCTGGACAACCACCAGCTCCAACACAGGGAGTACTTGTGCAAATTCCATGGACAACTCTGCAGTACCACCTGTGGTTGCCATAAGAAAACATTCATCAACATTGTCAGAAATACATTACTCATAATCATTACTGATTTTCACAGGATGTCTTAACTTATTACCCACTTGAGCCTATGGGACATTTTAATACAACAATGTTTTACCCCATGTGCAATACTCTTGCCTGTTAGGGTGGCTACACAGTTGTCCTGGGAAACCTCAAGCTCCGTCACAGTGAGTTCCTACGAGGTCTCAAGGGACTCCTCTTTTTCACCTATCACAGTTACTAGGGACAACGGCACACATCTCTGTAGTCACCCCGACTTAGCTGGTTGCAACACCACATTTTTACCACCATACACTGGTGCTTCATTAACCTCTTAACCTCATAAAACGCTACTGTTTCAGCCTTGGCAGGCTGCATTAGCCCATTATTTACTTCAGCATTTTCAAACTCCTTAATATACAACACATAATCATATTTAGTTTTGCTACTTGTCTCCCTACTGCACCTAACACTGCATTAAGACCTTATCAGTCCCCAGTCTCACGGTGTGTTCAACTGTAACCTGTGTTTCTCCGCTACCCAGGGTACATCACAACAGCAAGTCTCTACTGGTAGCAAATCTCTTCGCCGTACTTCCCACCACTTAACTGCTATTGGACTCATAATAAGTCTCACATTTATCACAGCAACAGTCTTGACACTCCTCTTTTGCAGGCGTTGCACTGTTCCTACGTGTCAAACACTCGGGTATGCCTGCCCTCATTCTGGGGATTGAGCCACCTTGTCACTGCAGCTCCTCCATCCAGATGTTACTTTTTCTCCTGTTACCATGGGAGACCACATTTACCCCCTGCAGAACTTTTCCAGCTTGGTGCTTCTCTGTCAGAAAAGGCTGCACCAGTTTAGCCAAGTGACCTCTGCTCCTGCAATCATCGTAAACTCATCCAAAAAGTCCTCAACATGTTCAGAAGGAATAATTGGCCATATGAAGTCAGCAGCACAGATTTCTCCTTAATTGCCATGGGCATCTGCTCTCTCCTTGCACGGCATGCTTCCCTTTTCCACAGAATATCTTGCTACCTTTTTGCCCTTTGACCACCCCATCTCTGCAGTCAGGCACACCACGGCTTTTTCACAGTTC